AGAAAGAAAAAGAAGAAAGAGAGAGAGGGAGGGAGGAAGGAAGGAAGGAAGGAAGAAAAGAAAAGAAGGAAGGAAGGAAGGGGAAGGGAAGGGAAGGAAGGAAAGAAGAAAGAGAAAAGAAGAAATTAAAATCAGCATGATACTGTGAGCTAAACTACAGGCTTTTTTAAGATCTCATCAGTTTTTTCCGCTAATGTCCCTTTTTATAGTTGTTTCAGCCTCTAATCCAGGAAACCATATTGTCTCTAGTTGTTAGATTTTCTTAGTCTCCTCCAGTCTGTGGCACTTTCTCAGTCATTCCTTGTCTTTTTCACTGTTGACACTTTTGAGACATACTGGTCAAGTATTTTGTAGAATGTCTCCCAATTTGGGTTTGTCTGATGTTTTCTCATGATTGAGTTGAAGTTATGGATTTTTTACCCAGTTCTTACCATAACGTTCTCCAGTGTTTACCACCTGATTTGGGCAAGTGGAATTCTAAACTCTCCCGCCTCCTAACTGTCCTCTTTGCAGCCTGTTTGCCTCTATGACACTTGGCATCTTCTTTATAACTTTCATTCACCCATTCAACAAGTATTTCTTGAGGGCCAACTATGTACCTGTCACTGGAGATACAGCAATGGACAAAATTGACAGCAATGCCTGACTTCATGGTTCATGCATCCTAATGTCAGGAAAGAGACAATAAACTAACTTAATAAGTCATGTGTCTACAGCAAGTTAGAAGAGAATCAGTCCCATGAGGAAAAAAATTAAACTGAGAGGAGGGATAGTGAGCGCTGGGGGAGGAGAGGGTTTCATTTAAATAGGATGCTTAGGGAGGGCTGCGCAAGCAGGTGATGTTTGAGCTAAAGCTTAAAAGAGCCGAGGGAAGGAGGCAGATGACTAACTGAAGCAAAGCGTGTTCTGAGGGCAGGGGCCAGTGAGCGCAGGGGTCCTGGATCACGCCTGGGGGGTCCTCAGAGGAGCAGGGAGACACGTGTAGCTGGAGCAGAGTAAGCGAGGGTGAGAAGCGGAGAAGAGGGCAGAGAGGTAAAGAGAGTTACTTTCAGGGGGTGAACAGAATCACCCTGGCCGCTCCTCATAAGAAGGAAACAGAAAGCAGCTAAGAGCAGTTGCCAACAACCCAAGCAAGATAGGATGGTGCCTCGCAAAGAAAGGGTGGGAAGTCAGTGTGCGTTCTGAAGGCAGAGCCAATACGATTTGCTGAGGGATTCAGTGAGGGGTCATGGAGGAGCGAAAGGGGTGAAAAATGGCTAGACGGATTGAAAGGATTGGGTTGCAGTTACCATTGCGAGTGAGGAAGACTTTCTTTTATTTAACTGATAATTACTCTGTATTCATTCAGTGACATGAGGCACTGTGATAGATATCAGGGCACAAATTATTGAGATATTAAGTGACTCTCCTCCTCCTAGGAGTAAGAAAATTCAATAGGAAAGATGGGTGGACATTTTTCAATGTTAAAATATGGTGTCATTAATTCAACTAAAAGTATCTGTGAAATTTGAGGGAGAGAGGACAGAGATAGACCACTAAACTTGGTTTGGAGAGACCTAAGGACGTTCCAAGAGGAAAACATAGAATTTGTAAAGACAAAGACATTTGCAATAACATGATATGTTTGTAGAAGTAAGTTGTTCAGAATTGCTAGTGGGTAAACTGAGAGTGGGGTACATTGAAGGGATGCATAGTGGACATCTGGCAGGTTAAAGGGTTTAGACATTATCTCGAGGGGGACAGAGGGACACTTAGCACGTAAGCATGATTGTGACCTGCTGGGACTGATGTGGGATTTGGGGAGCCATCTGCCACTCAGAGATGGATGTGACTTTTCAGTTGCAGGGGCCATTAAAGGCTACCTCTCTGATGAGAATGTTAACTTTCTTGTTTCTCCTCCTCTTCCTCATTGTCATGAAAACACAGCAGCAGAATGGCCTTGGGACAGAATCACACCACAGTGACGAGGTTCATCCTGCTGGGCTTCACAGACCAGGCAGACCAAAAACAACTCCTCTTTGTCGTCTTCCTGCTGATCTACGCGGTGACCCTGGTGGGGAACCTGGGCCTGATAGATGTGATCCGCGCCTGCTCCACCCTCCACACCCCCATGTACTTCCTCCTGAGCGCGCTCTCCTTCCTTGACATCTGCAATTCCTCTGTGTTCACCCCCAGGCTGCTGGTCAGCTTCCTCTCTGCTGACCAGTCCATCTCCTTTGTGGGCTGTGTGGTCCAGATGGCCCTCATGGTCCTCCACGGCACAGAGGAGTGTCTGCTCCTGGCCATCATGGCCTATGGCCGATTCGTGGCCATCTGCCACCCTCTCCTCTACCACACCATCATGTCCAAGCACTTGTGTGTCCGGCTGGTGGTGGTTACCTATGCTGTGGGGGTGTTCATTTCAGCACTGCAGACGGGGAATGCCTTCATCTTGCCCTTCTGTGGCCCCAACATCATTGATCACTACTTCTGTGACATCCCCCCGTACTCCGGCTGGCCTGCTCAGACACCACTGTGGCCAATGTCATCTTGCTCTTCTTTTCTGCCTTGATCACTGTCCCCACAATCTCAGTCATCTTGGTCTCTTATGCCTACATCCTGGTCACAATCTGCAGGATGAGGTCCCTGGATGCCCAGCGTAAGGCCTTCTCCACCTGTGCCTCCCACCTGACAGCCCTCTCCCTTTTCTATGGGTCCGTGTTCCTTGTATATGTCCAACCCAACCCTGAAAGAGCTTCAGCCTATAACAAGATCCTGTCTGTGTTCTACACCATCGTGATTCCCATGCTGAACCCGCTGGTCTACAGCCTGAGGAATAAAGATGTTAAAGCCGCTGTGCAAGTTAGGGCTCTTAACATAAGCAGGAAAGGGATTTGTTAGAAAGGTATCCAGTAGCCTGTAAGATAGAAGAGAAGCCTAGAGGGCCCCGCCAGGACAGGAACCTGCAGCACAGTTGTTCTACATCTCTTGATACACTCACCACATCCAGCGTGGACATCCCACATTCACTGATCTCCTGCATCCACACTTCTATCTTACAGAGATAAGCAGAAATAAGACCTCCTCTTGGATAAACTTGGGAGTTTGAGATTTGCAAATGTTAGCCACTATATATAAAAATAGATTTAAGAAAAAAAACAAATTTCTTCTGTTTAGCACAGGGAACTATATTCAATATCTTGCAATAACCTTTAATGAAAAAGAATATGAAAACGAATATATGTATGTATATGCATGACTGGGACATGGTGCTGTACGCCAGAAACAGACACATTGTAACTGAATACACTTCAATGAAAAAAAAAGAAACTACAACTAACAAGACAGCGTGATACAGACATCAAGACAGACAAACAGATCACGAAGGACGGAGAGTTCACAAGGAGACCCACACACAGAAAGTCAGTTGTTCTCAATAAGTTTACGTGACCAGGCCATCTGATGGTGCTAGAAAAATTGGCCATCCTATGCCGAAACAAACAAAACAAATGTAAATAGAGAGAAAGAAAGAAAAAGCTACAGATACACACCAAACAAACCATGAGTGAATCTTCAAATAGGCTGAATAAAAGAAGCTAAGCAAAGAGTCCATGCTATATGGTTCTGTAAGTATAAGATTCTTGAAAATTTGCAAACCCAGAAAGTAGACCCATGGTTTACTTTGGGAAATAAATTTCTGGGGAGAAGGCTGAGAGGGAGGGATTACAAAGTGGGATGGATATGGTCATTTTATTAGTTTTGGTGATGATTTCATGGGTAAATACGTCAAATTCACCTAATCATAGATTTTAAATGTGCAGTTTATTGTATGTCAATTACACTTTAATAAAGCTGCTAAAATTTGGACACAGAAGTTTTTTTTTAAAAGACCTCCTTTCACTCAGAAATGAGAGCTAGATTCTACCTTCCTCTTGTCTTGAGAGTTCCCCAAAATAGAAAGGATCATTGAATGCCAAACCGGGAAAATGACATAGTTCAACCAGAGCAAACTTCCATACGAGGGTCTACAGGGAACGTCGCCCTTCTGAATACGAGGTACTGGAGAAAGAATCCGGGTGGTGTTTGAGTGTAGGAAGGAGACAGTAGCCACTTGACTTTGTGGGAAAGAACAGAGCCCCCTGTACAGAAATCTCCACTATAATTAGCCAGGGACCAGAGTTGGGCTTTAAAGCAATAATGAGCTATCATTTCCATACAAACGGCTAATTTAAACAAAATTAAAAGCTGAAAGCCCATATAACTTTTTTTCAATCAAAATCAAATTACCTTTGTGTTTTTAGACAAAACCTTTTTACTGTAACAGAAATCAGCCTTAATAATTTAAGAGAAGGGAAAAGGGGGTGGAATTTACTGTGAAATCCAGACATCAGCTGAGGTTCAGTATCTTTTTGAGGTTCAAATAAAATTGGCTTAAACCCCCCTCCATGTGTGGTAGACGCCCCGCATCCCTGACAAGCTGCCTGGGGAATCTGAGGTAGCAGGAGACGGGCTGTACATGGCTTGTGCTTTACCTGGTTAGGTCTAACTCCGAGTTCTTTAACCCACTGAGTTAATTCAGTTTATGAATCACCTGGGCAGGAGATAAGCATGGGGTTAGGAATAAAGATGATATAAATGAGGAAGAGGAGAAAACAAATCTTGATCATTGTAGGTCCTGATGGGGAGGAAAACGGGGAGATTTAGGCAGGTTGGGTTGAGGTAACACAGCTGGGTTTGAGCCCTGTGGAGAAGACAAAGAAGCAATTGCATGGCCATCATTAAAAAGTCCACAAACAATAAATGTTGGGGAGGGTGTGGAGAAAAGAGAACCCTCTACAGTGCTGGTGTGAATGTAGTTTGGTACAGCCATCATGCAAAACTAAAAATTGACTTACCCTATGATCCAGCAATCCCACTCTTGGGCATATATCTGGATAAAATTCTAATTTGAAAAAACACATGCATAGCAGCACTACTTACAATAGCCAAGACATAGAAGCAAACTAAATGTCCATCAACAGATGACTGGATAAAGAAGCTGTGGTATATATACACAGTGGAATACTACTGAGCCATAAAAAAGAATAAAATAATATCATTTGCAGCAAAATGGATGGACCTGGAGATTGTCATATTAACTGAAGTAAGCCAGAAAGAGAAAGAAAAATACTGTATCATATCACTTATATGTGGAACCTAAAAAAAAATGACACAAATGAACTTATTTACAAAACAGAAACAGA